CCGAGTACTTCTCGTGCTGGGTGGCGGAGGGCCGAGTACTTCTCGTGCTGGGTGGCGGAGGGCCGAGTACTTCTCGTGCTGGGTGGCGGAGGGCCGAGTACTTCTCGTGCTGGGTGGCGGAGGACCAGGGACTTCTCGTGCTGGGTGATAGAGGACCGAGTACTTCTCGTGCTGGGTGATAAGAGGACCGAGTACTTCTCGTGCTGGGTGATAGAGGACCGAGTACTTCTCGTGCTGGGTGATAGAGGACCAGGGACTTCTCGTGCTGGGTGATAGAGGACCGAGTACTTCTCGTGCTGGGTGGCGGAGGACCGAGTACTTCTCGTGCTGGGTGGCGGAGGACCAAGTACTTCTCGTGCTGGGTGGCAGAGGACCAGGGACTTCTCGTGCTGGGTGATAGAGGACCAAGGACTTATCGTGCTGGGTGGCGGAGGACCAAGTACTTCTCGTGCTGGGTGATAGAGGACCAAGGACTTCTCGTGCTGGGTGGCAGAGGGCCAAGTACTTCTCGTGCTGGGTCGCGGAGGGCCAGCACGGGCCTCAGACTCAGGCAGCTGCTGTGTTCTTGTGTATGAGGCACACGCAAGAGGCCCCGTCAGCCCTGTTATGTCGGAAGCTAGTCATCTGGCACTGTCCCCAGGCCGCTGTGAGGGTCAGACGTCAGTGGTGTCCGTAGTCACAGCTGCCTAATCTCAGGCGCTCAGTTGCTGCCCACGGTCACGGCTCTCGCGTTGTGGCGGAGAGCACTGTTGTTGAACTCTGCACTGTGAGCTCACGCCCGTAACGTCTGGTGAATGTAACTGAACAGCCGTGACCTCTGACTTTCCGGGTCTGTACTTGCTGAGAATCACAGCTAAAACCTGAACTCTTACTGTTGGGAGCAGCAGGATCTGGTGCTCTTTCCAGAGCTTGCTTTGTGCCGTGTGTCATTGTGTTGTGTGGGAGTAACGTAGCGTGATGAGCACAGAGCTGCCGGCTTGCAGCCAGCCCCGCCCCGTGCGTTCTGTACACACCTGCAGAACAGGGCCGTGACTGTACCGTCTGTTGAGAACCGCGGTCGGTAAGATCCACATCCCGGGGAGTTAGGAACACCACCAGACTTGTGTCGGGACCGTTCAGGCTCCTACTCCAGCCGACGTCCAACAACTGAGTGTTGCAGCCTTCAGCACCTCTCACACGTGGTCAGAACTGCAAGTTTGTCTGGGTGTACCCAGAATATTTGTATTTATGTGCATGTTTGTGTAGGTGGGATTTAAAGGCTTCCAGATTGCGGCCGAGAAGCAGAAGGAGAACGTCTCTATCCATTACGAAGGAAGTGAGTACCAGCTGTCTCACGGGTCTGTGGTCATGGCTGCGGTCACCAGCTGCACCAACAACTGTAATCCGTCTGTCATGCTCGCCGCAGGTAGGCTGTCCCTTCCCTTTCCTGAGTGAGTTTGTAGTCTCGTGCCACACTCACCTTGTGTCTTAGGTTATGCGTGGATACCGGTGTCTGTGTTTAATATTGAGACACTTTCCGAGATTTTAACTGGGTCTTAAGGAGTCTCAGTTTGATTTATGTTATCAATTTTGTTTTTGTTACACAGATGGTAAATTTTTTTTACTACAACTTACATGTCTGTTAGTTTTCGGTTGTTACCTGCTTCTGTTAATCTAGAAGTGTAGTCAATCAGCGAGTCTCTTGACGGTTGACCACAGCAGTGCACTCGGGTCCACTGAGAAGAGAAGGAAGAGATTGTTGGCGGGGGTTGTAAGCGGACACCACTCACTGATAGTGTACAGTCGTGTGGTGTAAGCGTGCGGCTGCCATCACGATGGCATCTGAAAGGGTCGTGATGCGTGTGGTGCGTGTACGTAATACCGCTACATGTCCTTGTGTTCCAAGTGTGTGTGTGATGCCATGACATCAGGCTGTATCTGAATTTGCAAAGTAAAGGCTAGTATATCAGTATAATCTTGTGTGTGTTTTAAATGAAACGCGTCAATAGAGTAAAATGGACAAAATAATGACTGTCAATTCATGCATTTGGACTTTGACTCTTGCGCGAGATTGACCTGGCCTGCGTCACTGTTCACCGTGCAGGTCTTCTGGCTAAGAAGGCCGTGGACGCCGGTCTGCAGGTTAAGCCATACATAAGAACAAGTTTATCTCCAGGCAGTGGGATGGTGACCCATTACCTCAGTTCCAGTGGCGTGTTACCGTATCTCAGTCAGCTCGGGTAAGTGCGGGTCACTGCTGTTGACGTGGATGTTGGGATTCCGCAGGGAGGGAAGCCCCTGTCAGAGCCTTTTCACGTGCAGAGACAAGGTGGGAAACATAGGCTTTGTTGTACTTGTTACCTTTCCACTACGTCGCAGTGTGAGGCTCAGCCCTCCAAGGTCATGGACTGAGCAGATTGGAGGAGCAGGGCCCAGCGCGGTCTCTAGCATGCGGATGTAAAGACAGATGTGCCTCAGGAGCGGCTCTCCAGGGGGTGCGTGGTTTCTGATCGGGGAGGTCAGTTTTCAGAAAGAGCAAAATGTGACAGGCTGCATCATTAATGGACCAAATTGTCTTAATTGACTTTTTGTGAGGTTACTGGGTTTGTCAAGAATGGGTTAGGTTGTCCCCGAACTTTGTAGAAACTAACTTTACCATTTCTCATGGATTCAGAAGAAATAATTGGTGCCGGCTGTGTATTTTGGAGCCTGTTATCTTAGAAAAATCAATTCCTTTGCAAGACTGGTAAATTAAGGAAACTTTTTTTGCTTTTAGAAGAGTGGCTGCAAGTAATTTTGAGAGTTATGCCTGTAATTTCTTGATGTACCGTCGTGGGATTTCTGTCAGGGGCTTTCTCTGGGTTTTTGGCGGGTTGAGAATTAAGAGATCTGCTGGCGTTGGCGTTCCCAGCTAATGGGCCCCATCTGTCTGAGGCGTTGGCTTCACCGTCGCCGCCAGGTTAACCCTGGATGGAAGCTCTGTGTCCGTTTCTCGAACGGTCATCTTCCAGCTGTATTTGGGGAGCTGTCCTGTGCAGCGTACAGGTTTTGTGTCGGATTTAGGCAGCCACATCTCACTCGGGGATGCGCTGTCAGAGTTCCTACGCTCAGTACAGACAGCACGCCTGATGGACAGACAGACTGTGAGGGGGGTCAATCCGCGTGGCGGGTGTGTGCGCTCAGGCAGCTCATCACTGGGATGGCAGTGAGGGACCCGGCTGGCCCTTTCTTTACGGTCGTTACGACCTTCCGCTCAATCACGTGTATTTATCCAAATACAGATTCGAAATAGTTGGCTATGGCTGTTCAACCTGCGTGGGAAATACAGCACCCGTATCAGAAGCAGTTTTAAATGCAGTCAAACAGGTAAGGGGTTTTCTTAACCATATATTGTGTTGTTAAATGGTAGAAAATATATATTGATGTATTTATATTTCTGTGGTTCTTACACCTCTTAGGAAGAGTGAATCTTAAAATGATTAAAAGAATCATTTTTAGATCCTTGAAATAATCCCTTAAAGATGTAGTGAATTAGTTCATTCATAGGATTTGATAGTTTTATGTCTAATAATTGGAAGTATGCTCTTTGGCTATCTTGCCCTCAGACATAGAATATTTGAGATTGCATATATGTGATTATCCGAATTTGTACCATCTCTTGAATTGAGTATATATATTTTTTTTCAGGGTGATTTGGTTACTTGTGGAGTTTTATCTGGAAACAAAAATTTTGAAGGTCGTCTTTGTGACTGTGTTCGTGCCAATTACCTTGCCTCCCCACCGTTGGTAGTAGCCTACGCCATAGCAGGCACAGTGAATATAGACTTCCAGACGGAACCGTTAGGTATCATTCCTTTATCACACAAACATACCTGCACACGTTTTTTGCTCCAGAAGTTGTTGTATTTCTGAAATGCTTCTTAGACTGTCCACTCTTTGAATTACTTCAGGAAATCTTGTCTTGCAGTCATTCATTTCTGTATTCATATGAAGAACATAAAGTGTACAAATGCTTTGTTTTTTTAGCTGCTTATGCTTGAGGCAGTCTGGTATTGAGTGGTTTACTTGGTTTCTGGGATAGGTTTTTGAAAAGATGTGAACACCTTGAGGGAATTACTTTTTTTTAAAAGATTTTGTTTATCTGGGGGGGGTGAGAGCGAGCACAAGCAGGGGGGAGAGGCAGAGGGAGAAGCGGGCTGAGCAGGGAGCCCAATGCAGGGCTCCATCCCAGGACCCCAGGATCACCACCTGAGCCCTCCAGGTGCCCCTGGAGGGAATTATTTTTATACTGACTTTGATGTTACAATGCTCTCTCCAGGCACCGACGCTACTGGCAAGAGCATTTACCTGCAGGACATCTGGCCCAGCCGAGAGGAGGTCCACCAGATGGAGGAAGAGCGTGTCGTACTGTCCATGTTTAAAGCACTGAAAGAGAAAATGGAGGTAAGAGGCTCACTTGTTTCTTAAGTAGTTTAATAAATGGCAGTGTTTCTTTATTTCATGGGTGTTTCTGGATTTAATAAAAATCACATTATTTTGAACATGCAGGTTATAATAAGTGATAATCGTTTTGTATTTGGAATCTCTAATATCTGGGAGAATAGCTTAGAGTATTAAAACCGATCTTAGGTCACCTGGGTGGCTGAGTCGGTGAAGCGTCTGCCTTCAGCTCAGATCATGATCCCAGGGTCCTGGGATCGAGTCCCACATCGGGCTCCCTGCTCAGTGGGGAGTCTGCTTCTCCCTCTTCCTCTGCCCTTCCTCCAGCTGTGCTCTTGCTCACTCTCTCCCTCAAATAAAATCTTTAGGAAAAAAAAAACGGTCTTATTTACTTATTAGAAATGGGTAGCAAGCATCCTGAATATGGGCAGAATTCATAGAAACAGACCTTGTTTGTTGTTCTCATTAGATGATGGCTCAACGTTCAGAAGAAGTAAGAGCAAGCATGGAGTCTCCCTCCTGCCCCCTGGCTGCCTGCGTTGCCTCCTCAGGGGCCGTCAGGCACGTCACTTGCTTAGGCATCTTTCCAGAGAGGTTTTGTGCACCTACATATATTCACACTTTTTAAAAACAAAACTGAGAATATAGATAATGAGATTGCAAAGGTATTCACTGAACAAGTATTTATTGAGCCCCTACTACATGCCAGGCACTCTTCTAGATGTTTTGGAATAGATACATGAACAAAACACGAAATTCTCATGGGGAGAGGCGGGCATGGAACTGTAAACAGAATTGTGAGGTAAATCACACAGTACGTTAAAAAGTGGTAGGTGGTGTGGAGAGCCGCAGAGCAGGGTCAAGAGAGCCAGCTGACCACGATCTGAGGAGTAGAGTTACTTAGAGTGGTCGAAAACAGGATGTGTCTTGAGCACAATTCTGCAGGAGGTGACCAAGTTTCCGTACATCTGGACCAAGAGCAGGGCTTTCCGGGCAGAGCGAATGTGTGAAGGCCTCACGGAGGGACCGTTGATGAGGGTGCCAGGGTGTCTGATCCACAGGAAGTGGGCCATGGTGGGAACTGGTGTTAGGGAGACGCGGGGACTGAGATTACAGAGGAGGTTTTAGGCCGTGATTAACGTGGATGGAGTCTTGAAGGAAGTGACGGGAGCCTTCATGAGGTTGTGCACAGAGGCTTGCTAACTCAGGAGGACCGCTCTGTGTCTGTGTGGAGAACATGGCGGGGGAGGGCTGTACGGGAAGGACAGAAGCAGGGGCGCCTGGCCCACGCAGTTGGCGTGGGGGAGTCTTCATCTCGTTCGTGAGTTCAAGCCGCACGTTGAGTGTGGAGTCTATTTAAAATAAAATTTGAAAAATTAAATTTAAATAAAAAGAAGGATGCACAGAGTTGGGCCGGTGGGTTGGAGCAATCCTGTTTGCGAGGTGGCCATGGCACGGGACCGCTGGTCGTGGTGGCCGTGCAGAACGACGGCGAGACGTCGTGTCGGTTTTGAGGGGGGACCGTGTGGGGAAAACACGCACCCTCACAGCAGCAGAGGGTTTTCTCTCAGCCATGCTCTTGAAGGTGAGCAGCGCGTCCCCCAGCATGGTTTCTGTAACTACATGAATCACTTTTTCTAAACCCTTAACCCTTTTATTGGATTCTTTAAAGTCTTTTATGTTCAGTTTATATTAAAAAAACTTAGAGTATTCATGAAAATCTAGTGTGCTGGAGTTTGATGAGCAAATGTCCAAAAATGTCATGTTCTAGAATGGCACTATTTTAGCTTCCTTTCCCAATGAAGAAGGTGGTCGGTCCTTCTAACGTAAGGACTTTTTAATTCCCTTGAACACATTTATAAGCCTCTTTTGTCTGACTTCATTTTATCTTTTCTTTTTGTTCATCAACCAAACTCACATTCACAGATGGGAAATAAGCGTTGGAATTCCCTAGAAGCACCGGATTCTGTGTTGTTTCCGTGGGACTTAAAGTCCACGTACATTAGATGTCCTTCATTTTTTGATAAGCTTGTAAGTATGGTTTCACTCTTTGATATTTTCAAGGTTGTTATTGAACTAAAAAACCTCATGAAGAGTAAATGTCTTTCACTGTTTCTACCTTTTAGACCAAAGAGCCAGTTGCCCTGCAGCCCATTGAAAATGCACATGTCCTCCTGTATCTGGGGGACTCGGTCACCACAGACCACATATCGCCCGCGGGGAGCATCGCCAGGAGCAGCGCCGCTGCCAAGTATTTGACAAACAGAGGGTGGGTACGCAGCCCCGGGGCGCGCACGTCCCCTTCCTCCTGGATTCAGAGTCTCCTCCTGGTCACGCTCCCTGCCCAGTAAATAGATTTGACCCCTTGAACAGCACGAGTTTGAACCGCCTGGACCCACTTACACTGATTTATTTTGATAAACCCAGTCCAGGACCATAAGTATAGTTTTTCTTCCTGTGATGTTCTCATCACTTTGTCTTCTCTGACTGACTTGTAGGAATAGAGGATGTAATACGTATGATAAAGAATAGGTGTTAAGTTGACTTTATGTTCTCGGTAAGGTTTCTGGTCAACAGAAGGGTATTCAGTTTTGGGAGTCAGAAGTTATACCCAGATTTTCGATGGTGTGCTGGGTTGGCGCCTGTACCCCGTGTCATTTGGGGTTCGGCTGTGTAGGCCGCCGTCGCAGGGACCTGATCACCACTGAATCTGACGTCAGCAGTAGCCAGGGTACCTGGTGTACCTGCTTTTGCCTGTAACTTTAGAAATGGAAATTGCTATTTTAAATCGAGCCCTTGGTAGTCTAAATAAACAACTGATTGGAAACAAGATTTTCCTTTTTTTTTTTTCCCCCAATATGACTTTATTGAAAAGTCAGCTTTCTTTGACCTTCAAAGTGAACCCTGATGGCTCCTCCTGTCTTTGGAGTCCAGAGTTTAAATGTGTGTTTTGTGGACAGTAAAGTGAGTGTGTGTGAGGTAGGCTCGATCTGTGCCAATCAGAAGACAATGAATTTCTGCCCATTGAGCCTAAACTTTTACAAGAATAATAGAAGAGAATGTAAACATCATTGATGTGGGAGATAGAACTCTAAGCCTAGAAAGATTTTATCTCGTTTCTACGTGATTGATGGGGAGTTGCTCTGTTGTCAAGAGCTGTGTGGACACCAGAGGAGGAGTTAGGACAGCATTCAGATGCCAGAGCTGTTCGGGCGACGACTTTGCATCGCGGTCACTTCGGTGCACTGCGGCGTGGTCGCTCGCGTAATGATGCTCTTGGCTCCATTCACAGTCTCATCGGTGCTGTTGTGGAATTTGTGTTGGAATTTTTTTTCTGGTTAACTAGTCTGGTATGAATTTAAAACACCTTTTGGTGGAAGTTGCTAATAGCAGTTCCGTTTGCTAGAACTTGAAAATGAATCTGTCACACACACGGCTTTTACTTGTGGTGGTGAGAAATAAAATCTTTTTGGTCGTGATTTTTATCTTGGTCATAATTGTGACCTAGCATCCACCAAAAAATGTCCCCACTTTTCTCAAATATGTAACTGCTGTATATATTCTAACATATAAATACATATTTCTTAGTTTTCATCAGTCAGGATTTTTTTGGGGTCCTTTAAACTCCTCATCACGTCTGTCCTGAAGTAAGAAGCTTAAACGTACAAGTTTAGAAAACTTACTGCTTTTTTATGTAAAAGACCGACTTAGAGACTGATCCGCTTTGTTTGCTGATTCTTGCTTATGCTCCGTTGTTTCTTGTCCCTAAAAGGTCACACATGTTGTGATCAGGCAGCAACGAGCACCTCCCCCACCCAGGTTACGGTGCTGCTGCTGTAACTCCCACTGGCGAGGTCGCCTCGTGCTGCACCTTCATGTTCGCACTAACTGAAAGAAATCTGAGGAGGATCCTCGTGTCGCATGGGGTTTTGGTGAAAGCCAGACAGCACAATGTGAATTTCTGGAAGGGGGTGGTTACTCTTCCCTTAATGCTGTTTTGACGTGGGAGAGGTTTCCTGGGGTGCTCTGTCCTCAGCGGAAACCTGTACAGACAACCAGTGCTTCTTGGAGAGATGACTGATTCCAGATTTGGCTGGTGATTTAGAGAAACATAGATACATGCACTGAAAATATGTTACCTGCGTTTGCTTCAAAATCACCCACTGGGGGATGATTCTAGAAGAAACGGGCAGTTGGGCATTCACTGTTCTGTTTTCTCCATGTTCGTACGTGCTCAAAATTTTCCATTATAAAAAGTGTTTCTGAGTAAGTTTTATGATCCAGTAATGTGTGATGGTTTTCCGTCTGAAATGAAACCGGCTTCACGATTTCTCGCAGCCTTACTCCTCGTGAGTTCAACTCCTACGGGGCCCGCAGAGGCAACGACGCTGTGATGACAAGAGGCACGTTCGCGAATATCAAGCTGTTTAATAAGTTCCTTGGAAAACCGGCTCCCAAAACAATCCATTTCCCATCAGGACAGACGGTAAGGATGCGCACAGAGCCGTTGGGCAGTCGCTGCCTGGATCTGGTCCGTACTGAAGGTGTTCTGTTTGTTTTCTCTCCACAGCTGGATGTGTTTGAGGCTGCAGAGCTGTACCAGAAGGAAGGGGTCCCGCTGATCATTTTAGCAGGGAAAAAATACGGTTCTGGGAATTCCAGAGACTGGGCTGCCAAAGGACCGTATCTGCTGGTATTGATACTTCAATTTTATCTTAAAATTGAGTTTTAAATGTTCCCTTTTGTCAGTAACATCCTGTCAGAGTTTAGTTTGCTCATTTGGATTTTTTTGCTTATTTGGGACTTCTGTTGGTGAGATCACATATAATATTTTGTACTGATCTAGTTGCGTTTTAATACTCTGGATTAGATTAGATCTCCATCGGTCTTACTTGCAGAAATCAGTACAGTGGAGGGAAAGGAGTCCCCTGTCTTAAACGGACCCTCTGGAATGCTGATTCTCTGTGCCCACTGAGAGTTTTACTTACCCCCCTGCCTTTAGCTTTCTCTTTTGGGGTTAACAGACTCAGAGGTGGGCCAAGGGGTAGGAGCTGATGGTGCCTGGCCACCTGTCAGGAAGGCTCGTCTGGCCCCTGCATCCTTGCTAAAGTGTGGTAAGGGGCGGGGGCTGCTGGAGAGGGTCGTCAGGCACGTGCGCTCCTGCTCTCTGCCCCGGTGCTCACTCACAAACGCTCAGAGTGGCCGGTCAGCCGCCCTCCCAGCTGTCAGGATCGTGCACACTCCATTGTCAAGTCCTTAGCCTCCCCAGAATGTAAATACTCAGAGGAGCTGTAGGAATAAGCCAGATTCTCCCGTCTTCCTGAGATGACAGTTATCCCTGTTGTGAATATTAATTACAGGTACAGATTCCCTTTGTTCTCAGTTTTGTTTTTGTTTTTTATGTTGGAGGCTTCGCTCATACTTGATCCTAAACTGTCTATTCAGTTAGACATTGAAACACTGCTTCCAGGCTGGGGGTGTCGGCTGGGTTTTGTCCGTTGATGGGCCTTATGTAGATGAGCGGACGGTAACCCACCTGTTGGACTAGGAGAGCCCCATGTGCCATGTCTGCGAGTACTTCCAGGGACGCAGACCGGCACATAATGCGCGTTTCCGATGGCGTGCTCCCCCCCACCTCCCCGTGCCCAGTGCCCCCTCAGTCCGGGGCATCCATTCCATTCTTGTCAGGCGATGGCACTCACAGGGCTGAGAATTGATTCCTGGGTGGTAACAACATGTCACTCTCTTTGTAAATGGAGTACAGATGAACACGTAGTACTTAAACAAATGCACAGTCTGTGTGTGTGGCATTAAAATTTTAGGGCAAGCAGCAGGGGGAAATTTTATGGCTGGAGGAGAAGGTCCGGGAAAGGTTCCATAGGAGGGCATAGGGAAAGTTGAGAATCATGGGTCTGGAGCCTTTCTGGCTTGTTTTCTCCAGAGGACAGGGTTTTGTTGTTGCAAATGGACTCAAACCTTACTGGTGTCGCTCTCTGCATTCACTTGATGGTTTCTGTCGTCGGACGTCTGCTCAGGGTCACTTAGCTTCTAAATATTTGTAGAATCCACGTCTCCTGTTTCCTCTGTCGCTGTGGGACGCCCTTCTCTGTTTCTGTGTTCATGTGGCAGGCCAAGGGAGAGTGCTGCCGAGCACATATGTAGGTCTGCCAGGATCACAGACCCTGCTGAGCCCCGTTGGAGCCAGGCCGCCGCCCCCCCAGGGTGCTCTTACCTGGCCGGTGCTGCTGACTCAGCACTGCAGGGCACAGGGGCGGGTAGAAGAAGTTAAGGAGCTGCCTGAAAACACAGAAAAATCATCTGTACATACTTCGACACAGCACGGACCTTTAGTGTGTGGTATTAGGTTAACAAGTTTTATAGAAGGAGCCAAAAGTAGAATTTTTTTCCCTTGAAAATGGTCCAATAAAGCAACTTTGAAGAGCTGAGTGGAAGAAATAAAATGCACATTTGTTACAGGGTGTGAAAGCTGTTTTGGCTGAAAGTTACGAAAAAATTCACAAAGATCATCTGATTGGAATTGGCATAGCTCCACTTCAGTTCCTTCCGGGAGAAAATGCAGATTCCCTGGGCCTCTCCGGCAGAGAAACATTTTCTTTAGCGTTTCCTGAAGAACTGTCTCCTGGAGTTACGTTAACTATAAAGGTACCTCTCTGATTCTCAGGTGTGCGATTGCACACTCTTTACCCAGCTAGGTGGAAGCTGGAGAGAAATGATCGTCCGTTGCACACTAGCGTGATTTAGTGAACATACATTGTGGTTTAAGGTGGCTGTTTCCTGTGACGCCCGACTTAATGCAGCGGAGACTCTGAGGAAACACAGAGCGCTAGCTAGTCCAGAGAACGAGACGACACACGGCTGCCCGCTAGCATGCGCCCACGGCCTTTGCCTGGCTGCCCGTTGCTGCCGTGCCCGTGGGATTGGAATCCAGCCAGGCACACAGCCACGGGGCGGGGGGGTGGTGCGGAGTGGAGCGGGCACTGGGCGGAGTGCAGGGCCGGGGGGGCAGACATTACGCACGCTGAATGGTTAATACAAAGTGGACGCGAGCAGTGGGTGTAACGTCCCTAACTAGTCAGTCAGAGTCTGCAGCACTTGGTTTAGCGTCATAGGTGATACGGGACTTGTCATTCAGAAATGGGGACGAAGGGGCGTTTGGGCGGCTCGGTCGGTGAAGCATCCGACCCTTGATCTCAGTGCAGGTCGTGAGCTCGAGCCCCGCATTGGGCTCTGCACTGGGTGTGGAGCCTGTAAGAAGTAGGAATGAAAATACCCGTTTTTCTACTTGGCTGTGAAGCCTGTGTTTAGATATAGCAGGTCTTTTCCAGCAGAAGGGTTTCGCAGAGTCTGGCAGGTGGTGTCGTGGGGTATGAAGACAGATGGTCTGAACGCTGGGGACACTTGGACGATTTTATCACTCACATGACATGTTTCTGTTTGTTTAAAGACAAACACTGGGAAAGTATTCAGCGCGATTGCTTCGTTTGAAAATGACGTGGAAGTAACGTTGTACAAACATGGAGGATTATTAAACTTTGTGGCACGAAAATTCTCATAGTATCTACTCCACACGGATACCTTTTGAGAACTGGTAACTGCGAGTAACGCCTTTTATGCTGGATCCAGGGAGCCTCGCCCTGGAGCTGCAGACGGTCCTGTGCACTCACCGATCTCACCATGGGTGTAAATGATTATGAATCAACATAGTGACTGAAATGAAATCTTTCTGATTTTAAATAATCTACGAATGGTGCTATTAACATTGCTCAAATCAACGTGTGAGGTGTGCTGTGGGAGAGGCCTGTAAGTATGGGGTATTTTAACAGACCATTTTGTAAATAAAGGCAGAATTTGAACTTGTGTTGAAGATTCTTACATGAATAATCTTCCTGAAGTTGTTTGTTTGGTTTGGCACCCATAAAACTGTATACCACTGTTTGTTGGTTTAAGACTAGCAGGTTGGAATGTAAGAAGCCAGATTAGACTCTAAAATTGTGGAAGTTGGAATCTGATTTACAAATGGACTTTCAAACCTGAGCTGGACTTGGTTGGCGTTCACAGTTTGTAGCATAAGCCGGGGTCATTCTAGTGTCCCGTCTGGCCTAGGCCCCTCCACACGCGGCATGGGGCTTGGGTCACATGATGTCTGAATAGTGAACATACACAGCCCACCGCGTTCAGTAATTTGCTCCTGTGCCCACTGGCCGGCCTCAGATGGTATTCTAGCAATTGGATTCAAGCATTGTGCTCACTTGATGTGATACCGTTACTTCCTGTAACCTATTATTTTAGGTATTGTTAACCAAAATTCCACACTTTCATAGTTGCTAAAGAGAACTTAATCTTAAATGCTAAAATGATTTCCGCTAGACTTTTAAATTATCCACCCTAGATTATATGGTTGCTGCTCAATTCTAAGCCTTTTTTTTAAATGTTAGTTATTTCTTCATTATTTAAAAATTGGTTTTCCGTCATTTTGAGTCCTTATTTTACCTGGGATGCATGATTCTCTTAATTATGTTTCTGTTTTAACCAAAGCTATCAGGATAAAACACTTAAATTGTTGCTGTCTGGATATCCTACTTTCTCCACACACGTCTGTTCTGTCAACAAGACGTTTGACGACTTTTAAGAAAAAGATTGGATAATTAATTCCAGAAAGTTCTATGCCTTTTTTTAATTTAAGAAATTAAACTTAGCTTAGCAAAAGGTTAATCGTAGAGATTTTCTTTCATGTGGAGGTCTTCCTCTGACCCAGTTGGTTTGCTGCGGCTCGGTCATCCCACGTCCTGCACAGAAGGAAGGACTGTGTTCCGCAGAATTTTAGCCGAAACTACCAGAGCAGGAGGTGCAGACCGCTGAGAACTTGGCACAGAAGCACTCACACAATCTCAGTCTTCTGAAAATAGTCTGCAAATCTGTGTTCAGACAATCACGTGGACTGGAGTCTGAGAAAATGATTTCCCTTCTTTATTTAAATTTTTCATAACTATTTTCTGTGGTACTCTCACGCTGTGTTCTTGATACGTTGTTTCGCCTGTGTATCTGTCCGTGCGTGTGTTTAATTTACATGAAAACATGAATTGGGGGAGTGACGAGTCGAATGTTAACGTCACTGTCACATGCTTGGAGGAGGCGGTGGCTTCAGACCGTCTGCGTGGGGACACGTCTGTGTCATCTGTGGCCATGGGCAGAGGCGTGGCCATGGGCAGGGGCTCCAGCGGCCGGGCCAGGAGCCGGGCTGGTGCCGGTTGGTGCTCTGAGCGGAGCCAGTGCGTTTCCCTCTGCCTAGTCCAGCACCAGGACAGGCAGACCTCAGACCGGAAAACGGAGCAGGGAGCGTGGCCAGCGTCGGAGAAGAGAGTCTGGGTGTGCGCCCTGGTGTGCACCGTATGCTCCTGCCCCTGGCCAAATGCTCTGTGTGCAGAGAGGTGACATCTCGTGCTTTCACTGGTTTAGCGCCTTTGTTGACTGTGTCTGGGTCATTTGGTGTTTGGAAAGATGCACGATATTGTGGAAGGAAGTACAGTAGGCGCGTGAGAGCAGTTAACGAGTGCTGTGATTTGGAGTACGGCTCCAGAAGTATTCGCAAGAGCAGCATTTTTTTCATCTTGGAAAACGATGCCGCCTGCCATCGCCACGTTTCCTGCCTTCTGGTGTTGCTGCTCCTGGACAACCAGACTAGAGGGGCTTCTGTCCAGGCGCCGCGCTGCGTTATCACAGTTGAACGTGTCCGAGGCGACAGTGGTCGTCAGTTTCCGAACGAGAGGGCATCACGGTCGCCGTGGCCGGACTGCTGAGCGCGTGGCAGGGCATCGGCCTTACCGGTTCTGTGGGAAGAGTGCGTCCAGCGCCGGCGTGGTTGGCATACGGGGACTGTGGCGAGCGTGTGCGCCTTCTCAAAGGTGGGTGACAGGAGGAGGAGACACAATTGCACTGACGTTTTTCTGTGGTTGTTAGAAGACACCTGTCTTTGCCTTTAGGTTTAGGAGAAGGTACTCAGATACTGGATGTTGACTTGGAGGAATGAAGCAGGGAGCAGACAGACTTAGGCTTTTTCCCCTGAAGTGTGATAGTGCCGATGTTTCTATCAATTTTACATATAATATATGACTATGAACCCATGTATCTCAAGTAACTAGAAATCATTGTCCATTATTTAAAGCCAACAAAACAGTGTAACAGTTTTAAGTTCAATAATGTTAAGTATTGTATAAAAATATATTGGAGGCGAAGTTCAGTTGATGACAATTGTGTATATGTTATTGATGCTGTAAATTATTTTTAATAAAGAAAATTGTATTATCACGTATCTCTTGTTATATTTTGTGGTGATTGAAAATAAAACCATAACTTAAATAGGACGGCATCCAGAAATTCCTGTTCAAGGATGTTTACGTAAATGTTGAGAGGTTAGTCATTCCCGATATGACTGCCAGAAAGAGCCGTGGTCATCCCTGTCCCTCTTGCTAGTCTGGGGCCAATGGGAGTGGAAACCAGGGTGATCGTGGGCTCCTTATCTCGGGAGGGGTAGCCTCATGGGAAGCATGAGGGAAGTCGAACTCCATGCAAGGCTTGTCCCAACGGGGTCTCGGGTCCATGGAATCACATTTTACAGTTGAAAAGACTTCTCTCACCCAAAGCGGGATCCCTGGTACAGATAATAGCCAGCCGGGCAACCTTTTCCTGAACATTCATGAGATGGGGACTGTCTACTGTGCCGGGCAACCCTGTCCCCCTTGGCTGCATTTGGATGGTTAAATAGACTTTATATCACGCTGAAAATGTAATTTCTACAATCACCCCCTGGTCCTGGTTCCCCCTAATTTGTGTGTCCTAAAGCACTCTGCTGCACCTACACATCACATACAGATGTAACGAAGGAGCTGGTCCTTCCACAATTGAACTGCACATAACCTCCGTTCCGTGATCTCCGTATGCAGGTAGTTTATGTTAAAGTCAGCGTCTGGGACTGAATTGGTGGTCTTGTGCTATTAGCTGTGAATTACAGGAGGAAATGGCTTTTTCTTGAGGAGGCAGGATGGAGATGCTATGTTTTCGTGAGCCTCTTAATGTTGGGATCAGCTGCCTCCTCCCTCTGATGGCCGCTCATTAGTCTGCCAGAGCTGGGAGCAGGGCCGTGCGCCTTCATCCTGGAACAATGGTGTGTAACCTAAAAATATCTGCCCTTTCTACCACTCTTACTAGCAACCTAAGTGAGCAATTAAAGTTTATTAAAATTTGGTATTCATAGGAGCGCCGGGCTGGCTTGGTCGGGAGAGCATGCGACTCGATTGCAGGGTCGTGAGTTCATGTCCCACATTCGGGGTAGAGATTTTGGTATTTATAAACCAAGATTGGTACATTACTAAGAATTTTCTGAAGATTGCAATTCCGTGTTCTGTGAAGTGTGCATTACAAAGGCTCGTGCCGACACGGGCTGATAGAATACCGGAGTCCAGGGAAGTGTCATCAGTGTTCACAGCTCTCCCTTGATGCCACTTTGGGGTTTTAGTTATAAATTAGGTGAGCTGCAGCCTGTTTGTTTTGATTTGATGTGAGTTGTCTGATACATTTTCCAAAATACCATTCTGTAAAAAAGCTTGTGTTTAGTATAACTTCAAAACTGCAACATCTCTTACACAAGTAAGTCCCCACAGAATGTGCTTGTATGGTGATGATGATGTCACTGAGTTTTGAAGCCTTTTAAGCAACCTGCAACATACAGTTAAAGGAGACCGGGCTGTTACATGTTACGGGACATTTTATAAAGTCACGTCTGCAAATGGTTCATTTCGTTTCCCTCCAGGTGTTGATCACTGATCTCTGAGAGCCACTACTTACCTGTCCCAGGTGGCCAGGTGGGATTTAACAATTGTTAATCCAACAGTGGCAGGATGTTTTTACCAGATTGGTGCTTTTTTCACTGGGATATCCCGTATTGTCATTTTAAGGAAAAACATGATTTGGCAGCATGTATTACAAGCCTTAGAAATGTTCATTCTCTTGGACTCAGTAATATGACCAAGCAGTGTATCTTTAGTACATGATTAGAAATGCACAAAAGATTTATGTATGAGGATATTTTTAAAGACAAAGAGTTGCGCATTTAAAATGAAAGGGGGGTGGGACGCCTGGGTGGCTCAGTCGGTTAACTGGCTGCCTTCGGCCTGGGTCATGATCCCAGGGTCCTGGGATCGAGTCCCGCATCGGGCTTCTTGCTCAGCAGGGAGCCTGCTTCTCCCTCTCTCTCCCTCTGCTTGTGCTCTTTCTGTCAAATAAATAAAATCTTTAAAAAAATAAAAATAAAAAAATAAAATGAAAGGGGGGGGCACCTGGCTGGCTCAGTCCTTGAAGCATGGTATTCCCCTGGCGGAGGGCAGCTGTGGGTGGGGATGGGGTCCGTGACTGCAGCCTCCCCACCTGTGCGCCCCGCCTCCTTGTTTTCCTGCCTCTCGGGTTGCAGCCCCTCCTGAGTTCGAGCTCCACACTGGGGGTAGAGATTACTTAAAAATAAAAAAAATGAAAGGGCAGGTTACAAAACAGTCTATCTAAAGAAGGCACTGTGGGTGGAAAGGGGCCGGTGTGGACCTGGTAGCCCTGCCTATTCATCTCTGTTTCCAGGTTCAGTCTACACCCCCATCCCTTCATCCCAAGAAGAGCAGAGAGTAGACAGACCCGTGGAGGGAAGTCAGGAGCTGTCTGGGGAACAGCAGGCTGAGGGCCTTGAGAGGCCAGTAGGAGTCACTTCGGGTTGTGGGAAATGGGAATCAAAGTTGGTCTGACACCCTGAAGGGAGTTCCAGACAAGAAAGCCCCGGGGGCCTCCATCATCCTTGGAGATGAGAGCGGAGCTGGGAAGAACTTCACTGACCCGGGAAGGAGGCCAGCTTGACAGAGGCTTGGGGAACCTCTAGGTGACCAGGCCAGAGGGCCCCACGTGGACCCCCCCGGGGGAGGTGCTGTACCCGCACCGGAGGAGGGGGGCACCGACAGAACCACGGAGACGCACCGCAGGCCACAGCTCCG